CTGTCATGAATTTAATAAATTATATTATTAGATTTTAATTCGGGATTCTATTCATAGAACACTCTCCCAAATGGTTTCAAGTAATTTAAAGCTTTTTAAAGTCTATAGCAACGCACCAGGGATTGGAGCATCTCTTGTGCACTTGTCCCACATTGGCATGACTACGCTGTAAGCATCTGGGGAAACCACAGTATGACACACTAGAGGAGGTATTGATAGTGAGGCCGAAGGGTCTTTTAAAATTCGGTCAAGCCCAGGCAACCTAAAGGATGACTACTTCTCATGGACCAAGCAACTGAATTCCATCTGGTATCGCAACGGACCAAAACTCGTTTATGCGTGGGTTATTGGCCTACCAGAGTAACCTAGCCTGACCTAAAGCTTATCGCTTATTTTGACTAATGAATTCGATATATTTTCCAGTTTCTTTGCTATCTTAATTAAGCAATCAAGAATGCAGAAAGCGGGATTTAAGAAGCACCCTAATATTTTTATTAATCTTGATTAAGTTGTGAGAATATTTTTGCTATATATTTTTGCTAATCCTTATTCGAAATATCGAATAATAGACTTTAGCCGGGGTATATATTTTACGGCACAAACATTATACAGGATATGAGACCAAGAAAAGATCAGTGGCAGTTGGCAGTATATTAGAGTCCAAAGTCTTAAGGCGACTTAATGTATCAATTTCAGTTGTTTTAAAATTCTGTTTTATCTTTAACTACGTACATAGTCGAGAGTTTGAAGTCGCTATAATATAGAGATAATTTATCCCAAATTCGACCAGAAATCAAAATACAAATTTTTCCTTAAGTCGACTTAAACTATTTTATCATATCACCAGGTAGATATTTGTACCTGAATCACTTATAAATATATAAACAACAATACTTTTATACGTGCGAGTAAAATTATGATTTTTTTTTTTAGTTTAGAACACACCTAATGCTCATAAGCTGACCTGCCAAAATCATTCCTAATCACTTATAAATATAATATAAAAACAGCATTACTTGTACACTTGCAAGCAAAATTATGAAAAAAAAATTTTTGAATTTACTACGCCCCTAATGCTGATAAGGTTACATGCCAAAATCATTGTTGTGAAGGCTTCAACCCGGAATTTGTTATTATGTACGATAAACACTTAAACTAACTACAAAAAGACAAAAACACACTCACATGCATTTACAGTTRCATACATACAAACTACATTCAAAAATACATAAATAAAAAAATTATAATAGAAAATAAAAAATCATTGCAAAACATTAACTTATTTTGTTTCGTTTGCTGTTTTTGGTGTTCTTTTCTTTTGTTATTGCATATTTTTCTCAATTTTCGTTCGTTGCTTACATTGTTGTTGTTGGTTTTGGTTCTTGGCGCTTTCGCTTTTCCAGAAGCTCTACTAACCACTACTTATTACCTCTTCTCTTTGTCTACATTATTCACTCTCTTTCACGTTGCATAAACGCCCCAGACTGGAGGATGATTACGAGGAGCCCGAAGCCTTGCAACAGGAGCGTCCCGAATCACCACGAGACTTGCAGTCTGGTGAGATTATAAATAAAATGAAATTCCGCCCATTGCCACCACCACCACGCCCACCGCGTGAGAAGCGTCAACGCGCCGAAAGTAAAAGCTCAGCGCATAGCGCTTTCGTCTCATTACACGAACGCGACTTCGCCGATGATAAAATTGCGACCTCGTCGACGGCGGATAGCTACGATCCGACCGATGTGGATTTGGAAGAGGAAGAAGCACGCCTACCCGAAGTGGAGGTATCCACGCAAACCGACCCGCTACCAGATGATTTCGAATGCGAAGAGTTCGAAATCACGGAAGATATGCGCATCATCGAGCCGCGTATAAATAACTTGCGCAAGACGTTAGATGAGCTGCTGCGTGAGGAAGAGTTGAAGATTAAAGCTGTCGAAGAGGCGGCCCCGGCACCACTTACAGAAGAGGAGCAATTGACGCGCGGTTTGCAGCGCTTCCGCGATGCGAATCAACGTAGCATGTCGGAGCGTTCGCGTGCGTCATCGCAAGCCGATCGCTCCAAGTCACAAAGTCGTCCACCAACACCCTCCGCTGTGGTTATTGAAAGACGCATTTCAACACCTATACCTAGTCAACAGGCCGAGACCATGTTGGAGGCCTCATTGATTGTACGTCCAATTGACGATTTGGATCTCGAAGAGGAAGCTTTACGTAGAGAGGGTCTGCTTACGGATAGCGAACAGCAGAGTAAATCCGATGTAGAGGCCACCACATCGCATGATGAAGAAGACGAATCAAAGCATGCAATTAGCGAATATTCAGTCGGACCGAGCTCTGAGGAACTGAATGCCGCGCTGGACGAACTGCGCGCACAAGCAGACAGCACCTATGCGGACGAAATGGAAGAAGCTGAGCTAACCGAATATGCTAGTGAATTTGAAAAGCGGACAGACGAAGGTACACTGGCGAGAAGTAGTTACGACCGCTATATCGGAGACGAAACTTCTGGAAAAGAGGAGGAGGAAGAAGAGCTCGAATTAGATGTAGCGAAAATGAAAGAAGAACTGCTGCAAGATATCCCAACAGACAGTGAGAGGTACGAAGCATCAACAAATGCTGACGAAGATGAGCAGAAAATGAGCGAAATCGAAGAAGCGCCAACGGAAGAGGAGGACAACGTAGCGCCGACAACAGCTGAAGAAGTGACACCAACCCTTGTACAAGATAAACACTTCACTTACGAAGATAAGGCTGAAAGTCTAGTGGAAACACGCGACACTACCGACGCGGCTGCAGTGGTAACTGAAGATCGGGAGGAAGCGACGGCATTTGAAGAGCCACCACTACCACCACCGCGACGCAAATCAACCACAGCATTGGAGCAGCCACCGACGCTAGCTTTGGTGGAGGAGACTTCGAAGGAATTAACACCAGTGCCAACGTTAGCCGCAGCGCCACTAGCACAGCCGCCACCTCAGCTCCCAGCGCATTTGGGTGAACTTGAAGTGGAACGCTTACGCGTGCATGCGCTACAAGCCGGACAAATCATGGTCTCACAGCTACATGGCGCGCAAATATCCGCCGAGGAGCTGGAGTGTAAATCGGGCAATTTGATTGTGAAAAATATAGCTTTGCCAGAGGGTTTCATTGAGGATATTGTGGAGCGTGTGCGCACCACCGATCGCAGTCAACTGTTAACTGTCGAAACACAAACAAGCTTACAAGCGAGCAGCGAAGAGCGATCGCCGGCGCGTGAAGTGGTACCGCCACCAAAACCGCCACGTCAACGCGATTTGGACGGCAGCAAGCGTACACCAGCCGACACGAGCGACGAGATTGCGCTGCAGCAGTTAAGAAATTACGATGAAGAAACACAAACCGATCCGTTGGCGTATCCAACACATATGAACATCCCACCGCCCGTCTACGCCACAACCGAATATCTGCAATCATTGCCACCGCTGGGTTTCTATAATCTACGACGCGCCGACGAACCGCCATACAGCGGCAGCGCTGACGGCAACGAAGCCAACGCACAGCAAAGAAGACAACAACAACCACATCATCATCACCATCATCATCATCGCCACCACCGTCGATGCGATTCATCATGTTCCGAGTGTGAGGATTACGATGATTTGGGCGAACGGGAGGAGACGCGCTCGCGCTCGCATAGCAGACGTTCACGCAGCAGCACACGCCCACCAAACGAACCGCAGACCGTAGCCAAAGCGGGCAAACAATTCATGTCGGCCTGTAGCCTATCGTTGGTGCAATTGCTGAACCGCGTAACTGCGGCAATTCGTGGTGCCGAAGCTGACAAAAATGTTGAAGGTCAAGTGCATCATATACCGACATTGCTGGCGCTCTTCGTGGTCATATCATTCACGTTGGTTGTGTATATGCTAGCGGGCCGCAGCGTACACACACATCATTGGGACTTCTTCAATCCGCCCGGGAGTGGCGCGCGCCAGTCGTAGGAGTACCGGTGGTGCATGGTGAAGATACATAATCTCTTTTAGTTCCTCTTTATCCAGGCGTCGTATGCGTTTTGCCCACAACCACAAGCCGTTGCCGAGCGTGTGTGTTTGAAAGTTGTTTGCATTTTATGTTTTATATGGAATTTCGAATATGAAAATACCTATGTACTTTTGAAACAGTTATGTACATAAATAAGATATACGAATATCAAGGAACGACGCTTGATGCTGAGCGCGCATGCTCCATATGCCTCAAGATGCCAGCTAGCTAGCTGAACGCCAGCTGTGTCTTTGTATTGGTTTCGGCGAAGAGTTTAACATAGCGACGAAGTAAACTTTAACTAAATTGTTGCAATAATTTTGTACGAAAAATTAATAAAAAAAATAAACGACGAAGTGCGACGAATATGCAATAAGCAATTTCTACAGAACTAACAAACGCTAATTAACAACGTATGTTGCATATGTATTTACATATAAATATGTAAATATGTTTAGGATATACAGACATTACATATATATTTTTGCAATGAAATTTTCATAATGGACCAAAAATTTGAAAATCATGTTATTATTGATGGCACATACGTATATTACACACATAAATATGTACGATGCCGTATCAAGTACCGTTATTGTTTTCTATTACTCTTTTTTTATAAGTTACTTTAATTTATTCAACTTTGCAGTAATCGGAGATGTTTTTATTATTATTATTTTTTTATTAAATGTAAGCAATCAAATAGTTTATGTGTTAATTTGATCGCTTAAAATTTATGCATTATTGTTAACTACACTACAATATTTATTATTTATAATAATTATATATTCAAAATTCATACACACTCATATTTAGAAATACTGAAAGTGTAAAATTTTTCAATAAAGTAAAGTTCAAACAAACTACTTGTGTACATATTGTTGGCCTTTGCCTACCTTAAAGCGGAAAATTTTCACAATTTGCGTGATAACTGCAGGAGTTTGCTGTTAAATTATTGCTGCTTACTTAATTATTATATATTAAATTTTTAAACACTATTTATTCAAAACTTGTTTGCAATAAAAAGTCTTCGTCATACTGAACCATTTCGCGGCCGTCTTTATGGCTGCCCTTTTGCGAATCGCTCGCCGCTGCAAGGGATAAATAATTGAAACAATTAAAAAACCGAAACAAAAGAAAAAAATGCGATTTTACAATACCTAATGCACACAAAAAGTTGGATTCTCCCAAAAAATAAATTTTCTTACCTATAGACGACCACACGGCCGAAGATGAAGCGTCATTTATAGGCTCAATTTGTGGCTGACGGCGCGCCAATTGCACTTGCAAATTAATTCCGTTAACACTTTTGCCATGCATTTCAGCAATAGCACGATCAGCTGATTCTGGTTTAGCAAACGAAACGAACCCACGACTACAAAAAGGAATGTGTAAATAACGGCAAGTTAAACTTACTACTACTTGTTGTACTTGTTTACAACTTGCACATTTTCATTACTCACCTTTTCTCGATTTCCATTGACACATTAACAATTGTGCCATAATCGTTGAACGTTTTCTTCAAAAATTCTTCGGTTACTTTATTGCCCGAAACGAATATGGTATTGCCGGTACGTGGCTTTTCTGGTTGTGTTGAATCCAAAGGAGTTTTATCATTTAAGCCGCGTTCTTTGCGATCGCGTTCAGTGGCAAAATGTTGATAAAGGTTTTGCATGCGCGGTTCTTCTTTTATGATTTCACTAATGATGGTCTCTTGTGCCACATCATTTTGTGTTGACGAGAAAGGTTGATAGGCTGCTACGCTGGTTTCGGGTGCACGCTTAGCGCGCTCTTGTCCCTTGGGACGTTTAAATGAGGTTTGGTCTTGCTTGGTTTGCTGCTTTTGGATAGCTGGTATTGCGCCACTTTTAATTAATTTACGCGCTACTTCACGTGCATCACGGGCATCTGTGGGACGCTTTAATGTTAGTGGTTTCTCTGGTTCTGGTTTTGGTGCTTTTAGCGCTTGCAAGGCTTTTTTCTGAAATGAGACGCGAGAAACATTGCATTAAAACGGAGAACATTGCATTGAAAATAAGTTACCTTTTTCTTTAGCTTCTGATATTTTGCTTGTAGCATATGCTCTTCCTCGGTTAAAGTTGTTGGGAAATGTATATAAACCATATTTATGTTTAATTTATTGCAAGAAACGAAAATTTACTTTTCACTTTTAGACAATCGGCAAAAAAAATGGTTTATTGTTGTTTTCGGAACAGAGTTGCCTACTGTTAAAAATTATTTCTACAGCTGACATCAGTTTTTCCTTTATTCGCAAGCTGTGCGAAATTTAGAAATATTTATACAATTGAATTTGTCAAAATTTATTCAATAATTCGATTCGATACATTATATAGATGTCCTAGGTATTGAATTATCGTTCAAAACAAAATTATGAAATTTGGAAGAATGTTATTTGCCAACCAAAAATTTTATTTGTAACTAAAACCATTGATTGGTTTGGGGTCATCGATTTCCCACGATATATCGATACTTACAGCATAAGTTATCGCACGGTAACAGTCTTTAGTTATTTGCAGCCCATTTAAGTTAATAAAAGCCGGTAGTTTATATTTTAAGTAATCAATTTTAGATTTCGCCATGCCACAAAGAAAAAAAGCGAAAACTTCATGGCGTCCAAAGCAAATGCACACTAAACATCGTCCTGGTCCAGAAGAGGAGTGGAGAAAAAGGTTGCCAAAGTAGGTTCCACATGTTTTCGTACGTTTATATTACATTGACTTTACATACACACATATATGATTTGTTATTAGGAATGATGGGTCTAATAAGAATAGCTTGCGGGAGGATCAAGTCGGTATAACCGAATATGTTAGCAGAGGTGCTGGATTTACTGGAGTTGTAAAATCACGTTTTTCTGATTTTCATGTTAATGAAATTGATCTAGATGGAAAAGTTTTACAATTGAACGATTTGACCGTGCCAAAGCCAGCGGAACCTAGTAAACTAAAAATTTTCGATAGAAAAAAGATTCGTTTTTCGTAAACAATAAAATATTCTTATAGCACTTGATGAGGAGGAGTTAGCAGCTGCTCGACAAAAATTTCGTGAAATCATAACAGATGACACGTGGAATAAAATGTCCACATTAGCCGCCTTAGGTGCAAAAGATCCAGCAGCGCAGCCCATAGATATAATAGTGACAGCGTTAGATAAAACAGAACGTGGACAAATACACGATATGCTTAAAACTTTATATAGCTCTAAGCTGGTTGGTTCAACAGTAACTGAAGTAAAAGATTCTACAGAGGAACGAATTATACGTGTAATGAAGCCCAAATATAACTCCAGCAGTGAGAAACGCACGCGTTGGAATTTTCCGGGAGAATATGTACATTTCCTGGTGTATAAAGAAAACATGGAAACCAGTGAGGCAGCATCACGTCTAGCTTCACGCATTGGGTACGTTTCGAGAAAATTTTCTTTCTAGTTTTTATTTGTACCCTTTACTACCAATCTATTTTAGTATACACCCATCTAACGTTAATTATTGTGGTACAAAAGATAAACGGGCCAAAACTACACAGAAGTTCTGCATAAAACGGCGACTCCCTTCACAAATCGTAACGGCAGCTCAAAAGTCATACGTACGAATAGGCAATTTCACATTCAGCAATAATGTGCTCAAATTAGGCGATTTAAAAGGCAATCGTTTTAAAATCGTCTTGCGTCATGTTAATGGTGATGAGGTCGAAATTCAGCAAGCGCTAGAAAATTTACGTGACAAAGGCTTTATAAATTATTTTGGCTTGCAACGTTTTGGCAATCACGCTGATATACCGACTTATGAAATTGGTGTGGCACTTTTGAAGGCAGATTATAAAACGGTTGCAGAGCTCATTTTGAAACCGCGCTCAAATGATCTGCCCTTCATGGCTGAAGTGCGCAAGAAGTGGTGGAAAGAGCGTAATTCAGCGGCTGCGGCAGCAATGTTCATTCCTAATGAATTTATTGAGAAGAAACTGCTAGATGGCTTGGCAAAGTACGGTGAAAATGATTATGCAGCGGCGTTAAGAAAGGTGAGATTATTCTGTAGTAAAAATTAAGTATTACATGTATTAACTTCTAGATATTATTTAGATACCACGCAACATGCTCTTGCTTTACCCTCACTCCTTTCAAAGTTTTGTGTTCAACCGTATTGCATCGCGACGTATAAAAGAACACGGTTTTAAACTGATACCAGGCGATTTAGTTTATCGCAATAAAGAAGAAATGGATGAGGACATCATTGAAAAATGTGATTTAGATAGCACTACCGACATTGGGAAATGTGAAGATAATCAAGAAGTTAAGGAAGATGCTGAAACTCCCGCTTCCGATGCAAAGAATGAAGATTCAATTTTTAAGCGTAAAGTCAAAGCTTTAACTGAGGAAGACATTGTCAGTGGTAATTATACGCTTTTCGACGTAGTACTACCCTTACCAGGTCATGATATCACTTATCCCAGCAATGAAATTGGCGCTTGGTATGAAGAGATACTCGCTGAATATGGTTTGTCATCTGAAAAACTACGCCATAAAGTCAAAACTTTTGCTATGGCTGGTGCCTATCGTAAACTGTTGATATGTCCCCGCGATTTAACATGGAAATTTCGCAAGTATTCCACACCCGAAGAGACACTGATAGCTTCTGATTGGGATCGTATCGCTGGCAAAGCAGATAAAATAGAAAACACAGAGGGCACCGGTGACTTAAAAGCGCTATTATTAGATTTTTGCTTGCCGCCATCGGTGTATGCCACCATGTTTCTGCGGGAGCTGCTAAAATCGGATACCTCGGCGGCGCAACAGTTGAAAATTGAAATAGACGAAATGAGTAAAGTCAGAGACAAACAGCAGACACCAAAAGTGAATGAAAGTAAAGAAGACGCAGCGCATGTTGAAAGCGTCAATGAGGTAGCAACAACAGAAAAGCGAAAATTGACAGCTGATGAGACAGCAGAGGTGGAGGAGAAGAAATCAAAACCTTCATAGTAGTTAGTAACGCTAAAAAGATGTGCATTTTATACATATAATATAATTTACTTAACTAAACAACTCCACTATTGTGTGTGATTTATAACTGACAAGTCTCCAAAGATTTGTTTGACATATCATATGCTATTTGCAACTACAGAATAAAAGTAAACAATAAACAAATCCAAAATTATGGTTCAAAGTTCCAAATAATGTGGTTATATTTCAAATATAAAATATTGTCATATTTCTAATATTAATTTATGTGGTTTTGAGATATGGATTTGAAATTTTGTCCTTGTATGAAAAACTTTTTTTTTTTTTTTTTTTTTTTTTTTTTTTTTTTTGTATTTGTTGTTTATTTTTCACTAAAATTGACAGGGATTATCGTGCTAAGTAATATCATAATCTAGAAATATATTATTCAGATCGGACCACCATGGCATATATGTAGCTGCCATTCATACTGATCAATCAAAATCAAGTGCTTGTATAGAAAACTTTTTTATTTGGCAAAATATTTACACAAAATTTTAATGAATTCTTATCCAAGCCAATACTATAACCTCCGAAGAAATTGTTCAGATCGGACCACCATAGCATATACATAGCTGCTATACGAACTGAACGATCAAAAAGAAGTTCTTGTATGGAAAACTTTTTTATTTGCGAAGAGTATAGAAGTTATTTTCATATTTTTAACCTGTAATCACACTTTCAAAATATATTAAGAGTTGAGTGCTCAAAAATACCGCGTTCGAAAATAGTAAAAATACAAAAATAAAACAGTTAAAAGCAACAGACGATTTGTATTACAACAAAAACAAATCGATACTTATCATTGTTTCGCCATGCCCCTAATACACCTCGCCATTCTAGCGAATTGAGCGTCATTCGGCAGTGCACGCAGTCAAATCAGTTTGTTTACATTGCCTAAATGGCCCACAATTATGTTGAAGCTGTATTTGCGGTAGTGCACAAGTCTATTTGGTGGTGTAATTGACTCTCTTCAACTCTCTTCACATACAACCACTTACAGGCGTTCATATGAAGGGAGCGCGCCGTAGTGCGCATATACAGACAAAGGGATAGGCAAAAGGCGCAAGGATTTTCAGGCATTTTTACACGGATTACAGTACGAAGTGAACAACCGTGGCGACAACAAACAATAAAACCATTTCTTGATTTGCAAAATTATATGAAAAACATAGAAAATGCGGTTTTATCGCAAAATTTAAATATGCAGTAAAATAGGAAACAAAGTAATTTATCAAGGAGTGTTTAAAAAGTAATTAAAAAGTGCTTTCATTCATAAAAATATAATATAAGCAAGTAAAGTTTTAAAAAGTGTTAATTGTTTAAAATGTTGCACTAGCTTGGCGCCTTTATAGGTATATGCATACCACTTGTAGAGAAATAAACAAAATTATTGTACAAACAACGGTATAAGGACAAGCATAATTTTTACAATGTCTAAATGTTATTTGTTAAGGCGAAGGTCTTTGAAAATTTTCAGTTATTGATTTTTTAGCAGAGTAAATCAATCAATAAAGGCGACGGTCACATTAATGTATGAATAACAACAGCAAAACACAGGAGCACACCAACAGTGCTAATTGAAACCCTAAACGGCTATAAATACATATGCAGATATATATTTATAATAACACATATGTACAAATGAGGTACCTAATATCTGAAGTACTTGAATTGCGCGCTTCGACCCAAAACAGCGAGGTCGACAACCAAACGCTCACACCAGGCGCCTAACATAACCACCAACTCAAACATTGCATATGGTGGTGAGACGTCGCATTTGCTTAGAATGAAAATAAATCTGCAAGATATTATGACCCTTATTAGAAAATCACCACCTTGTTTACACAGCGAGGTACATACATATATATAATAGTATGTTTGTGTTATATACTATATAATTATAAACATGCATATATACATATAACTGATATTAGTTGCGTCGAGTCGATATCTGCAATAAAATTTGCCCACTCCAACAAAACCATTATTACAATTGAAGGGTGGAAACCAAGCATCCAAGTGATTCATATCTGTCGAAATCAATAGCAGTTTGTGAGAATATATTCATTAAGGGGAAGTTACATACATATGTGTGCATTATATTATTTGACGTGACAAAAAAATATGTAAAGAGTAAAATCCAACAAATCAATACAAATAATGGCGAGGTAGTGATATTTACTATCTTATTGCTTCACATAATTAAACTCTGAATTGTTGTTTTAAGAAAGTTAGTTTTTTTCATAAATATCATTGTACTTTGTTACAGAATTATAAACTTGCAATTTCTTAATATAAAAAACATTTAACTAGCTTCGCTATTACTGCCATTACACTTACATACATTAAAAATTAATAAATAGGTAGTTATGATAAAAGGAAAAAAAGACAGATTTTTTGCTTAAGACATATGCAAAAACTACTTTAAATTACTATATCGTCGATATTTTCATTTTCCAAAAATTTAATCTGACACTTACAAAGATACGCGACAATGCGCTTTTCAGCTTTTACGCGATTATCTTCATCCAAGCCCTCCAGCAAGGTTTCGATGCGTTTTAAGCATGATGCTGTAGTTGTTGTTGTACTAACTATAGGTTCTGGTTTCTTTGCTTCTAAAGCGACGGCTTGTTCATCCATTGCCTCTTGTAGTGGATCATCGTCATTAGGTAATTGCTCAATAAGTTGCTCAGCTTCCATTTCACTCCAACTCGTACGTAGATTTTCTGCGGCGCTTTTGTGACTAGTTGAGCTGTCAATATTTCAATACATACATGGCTTAAATTAATAATTACAATATATATATATATATATTAAATTACCTGTGTACCCTTGTGTGATGGTCAAGGAATTTCATTTTATCTAACAAATGCCATGTAGCGCCGTGTGCGCTTTCTACACCACCAGCTTTGCGTTTAAGCTCTTGCGTCTTTTGCGACTCACGACGATATTTATCGCGCAGATTCTTCCAACGTATAACACAGTACTTAGCTGAAAATATAATAATTATTTCTATATATTAAATTGAATTTATTGACTTTAGTAAAAATTACTCTCTACGCCCAGGGAGGATGCGATGCTACGCCAGAGTTCACTTTTCTTCTTCATCAGATGGTAGGGTGAACTTCGCACTTCCTTTTCATACAGCAGTGGATTTGCGCGCACCAAATCGATTAGTTTGGAATCGAAATCTAATTTTGTTTCCATTTTTATGGAGTTATTTATTTTTCATGAAGTATTTATCACGTAAATAAAATATTAAGCACCAAGTAGCTAATGAGTATGAGAAACGACGAAGACAACAAAACGATGAAAATAGAATGTCAATTAGGAAAATGCGGCAGAGCTGCCATCCTACTACGTTTAATAAACAGATATAAAAATTAGAAAACTATTAATAGACATAAAGAAATTAAATAAATATATACGATATTTAGCTAAAAATCAGGTTATATACTTTAATATATTTATTATTAATAAAAATAAAAATAATTGTGTAATTAAGCGGTACGTTAATATAATTTAAAAACTGTGGCTATAGTAATTGGTAGCACTTCCGGTTTAGTTGCTTGTATTTGCATAGAATATTAGGTTTAAAAATTTAAATGTTATTTTATATTTATTAATTAAATAGTTTAAAATATATAATAATTCTAAACTTTGCAAAATTAATTACAATTGATATGCTTCTGTTCTGATGATGAAATGTTTCATATATAACCGTCATTTAATTCCGCTTTCCTGTACGGTGATACACATACAGCTATCTGTTCGTTATTGCGCGCTTGTTGCTTTTGCAGCTGCCCAATTTCGCAGACAGTTTATTGATTTATCGATTTGCTTCCTGTTAGCATGCAATTGCTTTCACTCTTTTTATAGCTTAAGGTGTTGAGCGCGTACAAGCTCGTAAAACAGTAATACTTTCCCATTTTAGGATTGTAGCAGTGCCGTGTATGAAGTATTAACACATTCAACAATTACTAGTATTTTAAATGCACCGCCATGTTGCAGTAATGCTTTTTCTTTTGCACAAAGTCAGCGATTCCAAAGAGCGTAGTGAGCAAGAAAGTTTATATCAACCAGTGCGTCGGTTTACTTAACAGAAACGATGGCGGCAGAAAACTATCATTTGAAATGGGACTCACATTTGTCTTATTTGAATTCTTCAGTTGCCACACTTTACAAGTAAGCTAATATGAACCCCTTCACATCTGCATTGCAACTGCATACGAATTTGTTAATAAAATTGCTATTGATTTTCTCCTTAGAAATGAGAAATTCGCCGATGTTGTGCTCTACAGTTCCAGCAGCAGTAGCGCCAGTGGAAGTGGCACAGAGAGTAGCATACCAACAGTGGGTATATCAGCGCACAAATTTATACTTAGCTCGTGTAGTCAGGTAACTTGCCATGAATTAATTTAATTTCACACTCCTCTAACTAAATTTTGTTTCGCTTTAGTTTTTTGCAACGATGTTCGAAACCGCACCAATATGCTCGCCCAACGGCGTGCTCTACGTTGTGCTTCCGCCAGAACTAAGCCACCGCGCTATACAAATACTAGTACAATATATGTACAGTGGCGAGGCCACTGTCGCCAATGATATACTTAATGAAGTTTTACGTGGTGGTGAAATTTTGAAAATTCGTGGCCTATGTCGCACCTCCTCATCGTCATCAAATTCGCACAATGCTTCAACGCGCGTCAACGAAGCACTAATAGCTAACGGTGTTGGCACACATTATATACAAAGTGCAGGTAATCGCCAACAATCATTACCAACTCTTACACACTCGCATATGTCCAATGCACATGGTGGTGATATGTATATTGTTAACAAATGTCCAAATGGTGCTGGTGGTGGCAATTGTGGACAACGGTACCATGCAATGGAACATTTGCAACAACCTGTGACGCAGTCAGTGCCGACACAACAAACACACGCACAACAAATACAGCAAACACATCACCAGTTTCGTGGCTTGGGAGTCTCCGTACTGCCCAAGGATAGTCCAGTGATAGTGAAGTCACCGAAATTGTCACAACTTGGGTTACTATCCGCTGCAGCATCGAGTAGTAAGCATCTTACGGGTTGTGGTATAACGGTAAACAAAGAAGTTGCTATAGATCCCGATGAAAAATGCTGCTATCGATTGAATCAGTTGCAAGTGGAAACATCTTTGTGCAACGAAATTGGCTGTACGGGCGGCTGTCCCATGTCCATGGAGAATGAACAGGTGAGGCGACGTCAACGCAGTCAAAACGACGAAAATATGCGCGCAACTGTGGTAGAGCAGCAATTGGAGCGGGAGTATACAGAGCGACAATGTCCACCACCCGTTGAAGAGGAACAACATGATGCCATTGATATGCCCAATTATGAAAGACAGCTGCGACGCAGTAGTGGTGGTAGCACCGGGGAGCGCAGTAAGTATTTCAAAATGTATTACCCCAAAAAGTTATTTCTTATTATCTTTATTTACAGTGCGCGATTATTTTGTATCAGATTCCTATGAGCACACCAACACAACATCCACGAAAAGTCACTATACAGAGCAAGTCAGTGGCAGCAGATTGTCGAACATATCGCCCATGCCTCACACACAAACTTTTCTAGCCATAAAACAAGAGCCAACCGACTGGACCACAAACGCTTCCGCAACAGACAATGCACACGCCGATTTGGCGTTACGACCCAAAACACCGCAGCGTTCGCCCAAACAACCATTAGATTTTAAAATGCCACCTGGCAGTACAACTGTCAAACTTGAAGTCGGAGCACATTCGCATAGTCCACATAGCGAACAGGACACGAACACGCAAGATGACAGCGACTATGAAACACGTCTCGCATGCGAAACGTGCAAACAATCCTTTGATGAACCTAAATCTTGGGTTCGTCATCTGGAGTCGCACACCGTTAACACGGCTGCTACAACAGCAGCAGATACGGTAACGGTAAATGTGGCTTGCGGAACAACGAATAACATGAATAGCACAAGCGTAGGCAATACCATAACCAATGGCGGGGAGGCATTAGTCAAGTCGTATGTGCCCAAAAAGCGGCGACGAGTGTCGGTGAGTGTGCTTGCTACCTCAAAGTTTTATTTTTGTTACATTTTGTATCCACTAATTTATATACATGACAGCAGCAGGAGAACAACGCGGGTCATGTGACGCTCTGCTGTGACTTATGTTCAATGTATGTAAATACTTTTCATATTATAGTCAAAACGAGGAATTACATACATTTTGTTTTTGCTTCTACTACCACAGCTCTTTTGAGACCCCAGCCGACTGGGTGCGCCATTTGAACAACGAACACACCGAAATCGAGTTGGCTATGTTCAACAGCAAAAAGGATAATGAGCAGAAAAGGTTAGGTCAGGGAAATAGTGACAGCTTTTATCCAAATATAGTTATTGTATCGAAAACTTTTCAGCTGAAGTTGTACGTTTTTTTCTTTTTTTTTTTTTGAATTTTATATTTATGTATAGTTTATTCAATTGGTGTATGTAAATAATTAAAGGAATTCCACCATTACAGTTCAGGCAACAACAACCACCAAAACCTGCAACAATTGCACCTCAAACGTTACACCCATCGCTCAACGTATGACCAACCGGCCAACGAAACGCAACCGTTAGCAGTAACTTCGACAGCGCCATCCACGTCCAATTTTTCGGAGCGTACAGAAGCTTGTAACAAAAAGTTTTCCACGCACAGCGGCGTCTTGACGCACAAACGTAATCACAACAGTGCACTCAATGGTGTCAGTGTGAGTGTGAGCACTAGTGTAGCATCCACATCATCAGGCGGCGCAGATGTTAGCGTGATTAGCAGTGTGGCCAGCAGTTTACCAAATGGTATAACAAAAAGAAATTCAAATCCTGCCACACATATAATTCTTATCTCCCACAGAACAAATAAGCACCTCGTCGCAAGCTTGATACAGTCGCAGATATCGTAAGGATGCACAAAACGCTTGAAAAGAACTCGCTTCTGCCAGCGATTGCATGGCATGGAAGAATGCACAAAACGCTTGAGCAGCCCAACGTTTTGACAGAGATTACAAGTGGAGTGAGAATCGTTACCTAAGTCGTTCCAAATCTAAACTAATGATGAAATCATACCAACCAAACTATTTTAATCAAAATTTTTACAAAACTATAAATGGCATCAGGAGTACAGTTAAAATGTTTTAAAATATATAAATGAAAACAAAAGCAAAAACAAAAACAAACATATACTTTGGATCACTTTGCAGCAACGAAAAAACATTAATGACTTCCGAAGGTGAATATATTGTCAAAAAAAATTTAATAAGAAAGAAAAAAAAACTTAAGAGAAAATAAAAAATTTAAAACATACATTTTTAAATAATAATAAACTAAACCACTTTGAGATAACATGCAATAAATGAACTAACGAACAACAACAAAAACAAACACATAGTAAAATGGGGGAAAAAAAAATGATTTTTTTGTGAATTATAACAACTTACAAAAGCTCATAAGTGTATACATGTGCATGCAGATACATATATTGTAAACGAAAAAGTTTTAAACTTTAAGATAAGATCAACACCATTGAATATTTTATTCGAAGCTATGCAACAATTTGTTACATATAAAGTGAAAAAATAATAATAAATTGATTCGGTGTTTAATATTATTGTATACTTATTGAAACACAAGTATAGTATGTCCATACATAACCGTATACATATGTACAAAACAACTTAACTTGTCTGCAAAATGTATGTTTTTTTTTAAATTTTCTCGCTCTCTATGTGTGTAGTTGATAAAAAAGAATTACAAAAATTATTGAACTCATTCCAAAACCACAAATGATATTTACATTTATCGTGATTTTACGTATTTAACGATTAAAAAGGAAAAGTGAATATATATATTATATTGTATTTAGCTATTTAAGCAGTTTATGCAGCAATGCAGTTTTAAATAAAGTATTTTTCTCTAACGTCAAACCAAAACTTTCCCTTTCAAAGCGACAAAATTATTTCAGTGATAATTTTTAGGTTTTTTTTATACAGTGAACTAGGCATATTAAGTTTGGTACGAAGTTTGTAGCTCACTTAATGAAACATCTGGCCTTTTAAAATTTATACATACATATATGAATTTTCATGAGCTACCAACAATCTCAGTTTGTATGATATCGATATGACATTTTGTGCACAGTTATCAGAACCGCCGACATCGGACTGTTAACAAACGAACCTATCAACCATAGTACAGTCCTTGCATAGAATACTTTTTTTTACAAGATATATTCACGAAATTGTTTATGTCTGCAGAAACACGTAAATATATGTTTGGCTATATTACACGAAGGGTGCTTTTGACACGCAACATTTAAGAACATTAAAGCAAATTGGGCGTTTCCTAATAGACGAAACAATTTTTTCACTGAAATGAAACATATAACAAAAAAAATGCTTTAGATATCACCAAACAATATTTTTTTTCAAATTTGTTACAAAACAAATGCGCTGTATTTGAGTTCATCAAATGGATATGCTGATATGTACAAAGATATATGCGATGTATAAGAATGACTGTAAGTAATTTACAAGGATATGTAACTAGCGTGATATTTCTCGTTATTGATAAACGGCATACAATGAAATTGACACAAGTTATTCTTTCCAATATGCCCTCAAACAATTAAAATGAGATTTTTATCCTCAAAAAGTTCTTTGCCGTTTAGCATCGTTCCTGAAAATGAGATTGAAGACAAAATAATCAATTTTTGGAAGTCTACTTTCTTAGTCACATTCGACACTTATATGTACATAGATTTTTAGTATGTAATACAAGAAAATTATAACATCTGTTATAACTTTGTTTATTGGAATGATGTGCTTGCAAAGAGGTTAGTTACATCCAATGATATTATATTGATAAGTCTATATTTCGAACTAGGCTTCGTCGAAAATTAGTTGTAAACATTGAAAATGCCTTACACGAGCATATCATAATCGTGAACATTTTCACGGCGCGCTTTCATAAACTTGGCATGCGTTTCACCATCCAAATAGAATACTTTTACTGCAGGATCATTAATCATCAAATCACGCCATGCTATCTATAATGGAGAAAACATTTTGTTGAACACACTTAAATGCAAAATAAAAATTGAATAACTTTACAAAATGTACTTACCAACTTGCCGAAACGTTCCTTATCCATTTCGTATTTGTCGGGTAGCAAATATTTCAACATGGCGGAACGCTCGCACCATGGCCAAATCATATAGTCCAACATGCCGGGTTTGTCGCCACCAAAGTAAGGTGTACCACGGGAGTTCAACTCCTTTTCGAAAATATCTAAACCTGTTGAAATTTCAGTTAGCGCACCGGGTGCTACCGCAGTACCACCTAGGAACACTTTGTACATTGCACTAGTCACTGCGTTGAATCTCTCGATAAGTATCTTATCTTGTGCTTTCTTTAGTGGATCTTTGGGGAAGAGTGGTACTTCGGGATATTTCTCGTCCAGATATTCAGCAATKATTAGTGACTCAATTAARGMTGGAYTGYYTTCCTCTTTGGGTAACTGTAATGCCGGCACTTTACCCAGTGGGCTGACTTCGGTAAGCCATTCTGGTTTTTCCGTAAGATTAATATAAATAGTGTGATGTGGAATATTTTTGGCGTCAAGTACTAAATGAGCACGATGAGCATATGGACAAAAGCGCATAGAATACAAGCGAACAACACCATCGTCAGGTAGTTCTGGTTTTTGCGAACCTAAATAATAATGAATAATTGTTTTTTAATATTCCAGAAGTTTGCTACAAATTATAATACATATGTATGTATATATGTATGCACATATGTATGTAAGGAGTACGTAATACGCGCATGAAGTGTAGCATACAACAAATAAATTAAAAATACATCACACTTTCTGCACCTGTATTTATAGTGTATATTAATACTAATTGAAAATTGATAACGCCGCTAATCAGTTACGTGCAGTCTCTAGTTTGCGTATCTTCATCTTTTTATTTGTATTAAACATGACTAGGCAAAATTTGGAAATCCGTTTATCAAAACCTCCACTTGATTGACGCGAGTCTTACGCCAATGCGAAATTTACCACAATGTTCTCATTAAGAACTTTCTGGTAACAAACTAACTTTTTATTCATAGAACCAAGACACGTTAGAACCAAAGATCTTTGTTAGCTGCGAGTTACTTTTATTTTTGTTTGATTTCAGAATAACACTCCAGTTGTATTATTAGCCACTTAAATATTTACTAACCTTTAGCTAAATGTTTGCCGCCACTCATTGTGTATTTTATTATTGTAAATGCTTTAAAATTTATAGTAAAATGTTTATTTGGAATAAGAATAGTTCGCCAACTGTTAAGTCACCAATTCAACAAAATTAACTCATTCGCACATATATATACACATATAAATAACGACCGGTTTGACAAATGCTTATGTGCGTTCATTCGCTATGTTTAAATTTATTTGTGCTTTTTTATCTATTTATATTAGGGTTGCACTTTAACAATTTTGTTTAATTTGCTGTTTCGCAATTATGGAAAGCTTTTATGCCAATACAACTCTGTGTTGTTGATTTGATTCATTTGTACTCAAATGGGTACTTTTTTCTTAATCAACTTCAAATTTAAATATTTGGATATAGTTGTTATACATTTCTAAATGAAAAATTTTACACCTTAAGCTACTTCCCTGGCTTTAATTCTTGCAAATTACAAGAGCATAAAAAATGTTCGGTTACACTCAAATTTCGTCTTATCTAAAACTACTATTGTTGCACATACAAATTTGAAAAAATAGTAAAATAAGTAATCAAAGCACTAAATATATACAACAATTAGAAGTGCCGGTCACTTATTTATTTTATGCTTGACCATTTTTTATATCTTGTATACTTTTTGTACCTGCTTTATATTTGATGAATTAATCGATTAAATTTCGTATTTTTTTAATCAAGAGATATCATCTACTGGGCCTTCAAAAATTGTTATCTTGAATAAAGAGATACATTGCCGGAATTGATCACTTTACAGGAAGTATCTTATATTGTTATGTATATAACTATAACAACTTACCATTTCCGTGAATCCGATAAAAACTCGCACTGCTTTACTCACTTGCAAATAATTATAATAGAGAACGTTGAATTATTAAATATATTAGACGTTCTCTGCTCGTACTAACCTAAAGCCTAAGCGATGTAAATGTCTGCCTACCCATTGTATATTTTATTGAGTTAATCCCTTTAAGAGTTGTTCGAAAAATTATGATTAATTTTAGAAAGTCCCCTTCTATTGTTATAATATATCTGCAACTGAGTAATATTAACTAAACAACAATTTTATTTTAACAACGGCACATTACTGTGAATGGGAATCGCTACCGATCAATGATAACCGAATATTTTTTGTCCGAATTTTATGGTATGGACTTGGATAATATGTGGTTCCAACAGGACGGCGCCACAAAACATGCAGCGAATGTCACAGTCGATTTATTGAAAGCCAAGTTTGATGAACGTGTTATCTCACGAAATGGCCCAGTCAAATGACTATTTTGCGAAAACTTTTGGCGTCTGAACTTCTGCAGCGTTCCCGTGGTGGCCGTGGAGACTACGAGTTCGTTGATGAACGAAAACCTAAAAAGAGCCATAACTAAGCACCCAATTAAGATATAAAACTGCAATTTAGCACAAGAAATTTCAATAGCAATGGGCATTTGCAAAAAAAATGGACATGTCTCCGCCCTCTAAAAGGTTTAATGTACATATCTCTTAAACCACTTTCGCTACAACAACCAAATTCATCTAGCGCAAATGATAACTCCTATCGGCAGTCTGAAAATTGATGATAACCTCGCTTACTCCCCATATATCACTATACTGTTAAAAACTACTAAAAGCGCGATAAATCAATAACTAAATGCGCCAGAGACATCAAATTTTGCTACCGTTTGTCCATCTAAGTAAATATATGTATGTACATACATAAATCTTACATTTATATATAAATAAAATAAATTAACAACGAACAAAAACAACAAATCATAAACTTTCAAAAGACAGTTCACTTGAAAATTCCACATCAAAGTCAAATTTTCAATTAAACTAAGTGAAATTACACTAATTACTATAATACATGATTAGATAAAAAAAAAACAGTATAAGTACAATTTTCCTTTAAACGCGTTATAGATACAATTATAACACATTAACTGAAATTAGTAATTATAATGCTAATTTTTTAGGTATGTGGCAAAGCTTCTGATAAACACAAAAACATATTAAGACATACACACCTGCATGTGTAACGGGTTTTCCAATGGGGATTAGTCATGGATATACATAAGACCAACGTTTACAAATTATTTTGTTATCAAAATAATCGTTCTATTAATGTAATGAATAGGGGCTGCCTCGAACCAAAGTTTGGGGATTTTTAGAAAGGATTTGTGTTTTTGCTTCTGTATAAAATTGTTCTCAGTTTGGTGTGGTATATATAATATATATATATAACAAACTAATTTCAAGCATCTTAAACAAGCATATTATAATCGTGCACATTGGTCCGACGCGCTTTCATAAACTTGGCATGAGTTTCGCCATCCAAATAATGACCTTTTACTGCTGGATCCATTATCATCAAATCACGCCATGCAACCTATAAAGAGTTAAAATACATTTAATACAAATTCAATGCCTTGAAAATATAAATTTAGCTTACTAATTTG